AAGCTCTTTAATAATTAAATTTCTGGGAAGCTTAGCAGAGAGATTAAAAATTGATATAAAGTAATATATTACGATTTTGTATTTTTATTATTTACAGACAATCCAAAAGAGGTGTGTTCAGAGAGAAATAATACAAGTTATAATTTGTATCAAGAAACTGCATCATGACGGAATACAAGCTTGTGGTAGTTGGAGCTGGTGGTGTTGGAAAATCAGCGCTTACCATCCAATTGATACAGAATCATTTTGTCGATGAATATGATCCTACCATTGAAGATTCATATCGAAAACAAGTAAATACATAACAATTTAATTTCTTGCAATTCCCAATAATTTATTTTAAAATTACATAATTTTGCATCTTTTTTTATTTTATTGAATTAACATTGAGTCAACATTGTTAAACAGGTGGTGATCGATGGTGAAACGTGCCTTTTAGATATATTAGACACAGCGGGACAAGAGGAATATAGCGCGATGAGAGATCAGTATATGAGAACAGGAGAAGGTTTTTTGTTAGTGTTCGCCGTAAATTCGGCTAAAAGTTTCGAGGTAAGCATATTAAATGGATTCATTATTAGTTTTGATATCATTGTATCATGTGTTTGTGCATATAGGATATTGGAACATATAGAGAACAAATAAAACGAGTAAAAGATGCGGAAGAAGTGCCAATGGTATTAGTTGGAAATAAGTGCGATCTTCAGCAGGCTTGGGCGGTAAATATGACTCAAGCTAGAGAAGTTGCGCGACAATACGGTGTGCCATTTGTAGAAACTTCGGCGAAAACGAGAATGGGTGTAGATGATGCATTTTATACCTTGGTGAGTAAACATCTTCCTATATCTTTAGAGTGTCGTAAATCTCAATTAGTATCTTATCTTTTCATATATCTTTGAAGTGTTATAAATTTCATTTGGTGTCATAACATTCGTGATATCATCAAAAATTTTTCTAATATCAAGTTTTTATAAATTTGTTTGAAATAGCCTCACAAACAATCGCAAATGACATTTCATGGTGCATTCCAGGTGAGAGAAATACGAAAAGATAAGGAACGTACAGGTAAACCACCCGGCAGTAGTGGACATAGGAAACGTCGATGCTGCATTTTATAAGTCCTTGAATAACACCAATATATACTTTTACTCGACTACTACAACAACGCAGAAATAGGATATGAAAAAGCCTTATATTATGTTCACAATGCACAAACATTTGCAGCTTATTCTACAGAACATTATAATGAATTGCAAGCACAATTTTTTCTATACATGAAGAGAGAAGAACAAATTACCTAATAGAACATTTTTACTAATGGGCTTATGTTTCATATAAGAAATATTTACTTGGCAGCTTGCCATGCAATTCCATTTAACTGAAGTATTTTAACCCTTGATTGAATAAAAGAATACTGATTTTTTTTATATATCGACATTGGCGCAAAAAAAAACATTGTATATACATATGCTCGTATAATTGTAAAACTATAATCAGTTTTTGCAAATGATAAATTTTACACTAATGTTTGCATTGACAAATGTTAGGTCTTGTTGTTTCTATAACAAAAAGTTTATTACACAACAAATATAGGCCATGATAACAAAATATAACATGAGGCATGAAATGCTACATGTATATATTACAAGTGTTTACTTTTTATCTTATAGATATTTAGTTGATAAATGCTATTAATCACGTGGTGCACTAATGAATTTTAATCAAACAGCAATATAATATATTAGCAAAATGTAATCAACGTACGAATTGTTTTGTAACTTGTGAATTAAGTTTTGTATCATTGCCATTTTATATCTTAAATATTTGCTAAGCAACTAAAATTATCATTCTAAAGAAGAAAAAAGCTTGGAATCACAAAAACAATATCACAAACTTAATTCATTATGTGCTGTGATTAGATATTCTTAAGTACATCAAGTTAGTTAAGTGTACTGTTATTAAGTCTGCAATTTTTAAATAGGACATTATTTAGTAATTATATATAGAAGAGGGAATACATGAATACTATATTGAGTATTTGAATAATTTATCTTTTTGGTATTGGAAAATAAATATAAATCAGATAATGAGATAAATCAGATATTGCACAACTATATTAAAATAAATTTGCATGCCAATTAAATTTAGAGAGAAGAATATCGCTTTCTTGTATTAACTCTTTATGCTACTAACATATTATTAACCAAAGGCTTAATATTCAACTATACAACATTTATTACATAGAATTAGTAAGTTTATTACAAGAAAGCTATATTTCTGCCAGTATGTGCTTAAAATAAATAAAATAAATTTATCTTTCTCTATAGTTTATATAAGAATTTATTAAGTATACTTAAATGTGCTATCTTCTCTCCTAAACTTTATTAGAAGAAACGTAAAATAAACACATTGTTATGAAATGCTATTAAAAACAATGGCAACAAACTTATGTTTCTACTTTATTAATAATTTGCTAATTTATCATAATGTAGCGTAATATACACATAAGTATAATAGAATAAATATGTGTGTGTGTGTGTGTATACACATATACATTAATCCATTATGCTTTTTATATATACATATATATATATACATATATATATATATATATAAAATAAATCATGATTTATTGCGATATACTCATAGTTTAATCAATAAAATTATTATAAACGACGAACATAATATGGTACTCAAGTTAATTGAGTATTTTTTCTGACAATAAAATAATTTCAATACAATGAATTTATTCTTTAATCAACGTACAACGTAAATACTGATAATTAAATTCTATACGTTCAAAGAACAATCAAGGGTTAAATCCTTCATTAAACAATGCAAACAATACAACTTCCATATTCTCGAATGCGCGTACATGTAATATTTTCTAATATTAATGTTTTCAGCTAAAAAATAAAAATATATGTGTATAAATATACACGGGATAGATATCATTTTTTTATATAATTCAATTTCATAACGAAACTTTATATAAAATCTATTTGTTATGTGCATTCACTCGTCGAATGCTTGCCTATTGCTCGTTATAGCTCATCCAATGCTATTTACTTTTCTAATAACTATAATAAAGTCTTCATATTTTTTAATAATTTCTTTTAATATTTTATCATTGATGCGTCGTCTTTAGATAAAAATTAGTCATTCATAATTAATATCATTCAACAATGTTCATGTGTTTCAGCTATTATAATTGAAAGATCGTAGATCAAGAAATTTTATATAAAATTCGATTATACATCAATTCTACCTATATTTGTTAAAGTTCTTTAAATGTATTAAAGTACATATATATAAACTTATATTTAATATATTTCATCTTATCCAATATATACGATATCAAAATGTTCACAGTAAAGTTATATCTGTTTTTGAAATATACTAATATCAATAATATGCAACTCGTTTTATTGACCTTAACTATATACGTTTCAAATATTTTTTTAAATTTAAATAAGAATATTTTTGGGCAATGGATGTAGAAATACTAAAAACATTGAAATATTTCGATTGAAATTGCATTTATTTTCGAGCACCTAAGTAAATATAAAATTGTTATACGCCTATATGATTCTGTATGTATCTATATCACTGTCATGTTTTACTGTGTCGCTATATATATTTTTATATATATATATATAAACTAACTTCTAATTACATATGAAATAGTAAATGTAGGCTTGAGTGTATACAGTAATATATATGGCACGTCAGTCTGTACGTTTAATTACTTAATCATAATTATTAAATACTACTATATGTTATCCGTTATTGAATTAAAAAATTTTATTGTGTTTGGCATTGTTCATGGCTGATGGCTCTAGCACTACCGTATCATTTCCATATATTTCTGCTTATGTTTGCTTAACATCTCAGTCACCGTTACCAGCTGTTTAATTGTCGGCTGTAACGAATGTATTTTTTATGCAATAATATCAATAGTATTTTTGGAATACTATAGATTAAAAACATACTTGTGTCTTTGACAGAACTTGAAGTTCCTTCAAATGTGAAACGCAGATATGATGCAACGTCGCTAAATCTCTTGCAGTATCGGATACGCTTTTTGTTTTTGGATCTGTACCCTCAGATTCTGGTTTCTCAGCAACATTCTGTATATATATATATATATATATATATATATATATATATATATATGTGTGTTATATATGTGATTTATCTTAATAAGGGGTATATAAATATAATCATTATATTGTGTAAGTTGTTTTTTTTTTTTTCTTTTATATCATAGTGCTTCGCTCTCTCGCGTCGCGTGTCTAAATAATGTAGGCATTTGTTGTATTACGTGTTCTCTGTGTGCAATGGTGTATAGAGTGCAAGGGGAAGGCACTTCCGCTGTTTTGCCGACGTCACACCGAGAACGCGGGATCGCGATTCTTATCCTCTCGATCATCATCCGTGGACAGGACACGGATAATACTATACTAATGCAAAATCTCGTTTAAAAGAATACACATTCTCTCCTCTAGTAAAATATAATAAACATTCCTCTTATGGAAGTACTCGTGGTAGTGTAGCCTCGCGACAAAAGAATCACAGTCCTAAGGAAACGTTTCGCTACATTTGACGCAACAAACCGGCGACGGCCGACCGCGACTCCGGGTTTTCGGTG